TGTATCTGCATCCGATCCATTATCCACAAAAATGGTCCATGAATATGAAGTGGATATCCGCAGATTTGCAGGGCTCTCTCTATACTGTACTTGGTATTTCAGCTAATCTTAGAACTACTTGTTACCTCTACTAGGCTCTATGACACCTATATGTCTGCCTCACTACTTATTTTCTTTGGGCCACTGGAGGGGAAGATGATGTGTTTTGGGGAATGCTATTTAGCCCTCTTTATCCTCTGAAAGACACGGTCAGTGAGGTATATATTGGACCAACTTCTGTTGATGAAAGAGACAAGCTTTCGAGCTACATAGAGCTCTTCAGGTCTAGTCTTTATCCTCTGGCATTTTTATAGGGCATCTCTCTTCCCCCTCTGCCCCAACCTGAGGTCTTTCTCAGCGGAGGACTCCTTTGGTGCCTCCATTTTCTTATGACCTGTCCCTAAGCCAGCTGAAAGTGCTGACTGTTTTTGAGCCTGCTATCTCCTAGCACGGGTGAGGAAATGGAAAGCCACGGGCAGAGCAATGAAATCTAAGGAACTAGATTCTCTAGTAATTGTAAAACTACAACCAGATTTTTATTTGATCCCGGTTGCATAGGATAAACACAAGGACCCGAGCCATGTAACAGAAACCCAGGGCTGAGTAAACCGGAACTTTTGCGACTATGCTATTCAATGGTATAAAATGACTGATAGGCAATGAGCTCACTGAATGGAAATGGAATATTCTTGTACTTAGTGCATTTACCAACTTCCATCTGTATGTACTATCAACAAACATGCCAGCATAATTAATCTACACAGAGCAGCCATCTATACAATTTATATAAATATTGCATAGAATTTGCTTCATTAAATCACTAATTCTGAATCTGCATTACCTTTACTAAAATATAGCTGTGTAGAATCATAAGATTTGTAGCCATCTCAGAAGGAATTTTAATTTTCTGGGTTTTGAGTTCTGAATACATACTAAAAAGAACATCATGTGCATTTCGGTAGTTTCCTTTAAAAGAAAAAAGTTAACAGTAAATGTAATTTTTCACAACATTGCTCTTACACAAGGGATATAATTAAACTCAATTGTAGGCTTTTAACTATAATCTAAGAAGAAAATTTGAAAGTCAATTTGTCTGGAAAAATCACAAGTACCTAGATGCCTGCTACAATATCCTAGACAATACTAGTTTAATAGCTAAACGGAAAAAAATCAGTGTGACATGGGAAGAAACGTAAAAAGTAGGACATATGTGGAACAGCTCAAAGCACATGTAGATCATGATTTTATCTGCTGCTGTCCCCTATTTTAAAAATGGAAGTTGGAACATCCATTACTTTTCCAATTAAGTACAAAAGAGTAGTTTTAGGGCATCCTAGGATGGATTTCCCATCTTATTTCTACAATTAGTTAAATATCAAATACAGTGTGTTATTTGAAGTTTTAGTTTAATATCCTTCTAGTGTATGTCTGTATAGTACTTTGCTAAATTAAACAGGTGGAAAAAGATTTCACTTCAGATCAATTAAAGCTTAAAAGTGGAGGCACCACATTTTATTATTTCAGGATTACTGCTATATTTTCAGGTTTAAGGAATTTAGGCAATGAATAATAAAACCCTTGAGCCTTTATGTTCCATGCTTACATCATGAGCACATAACTGTTTTTCACTGCTGTGGTGTAGCAGATCTTTGACACTCAGTGCCATGGGTCTGAGATTTTCCAACCCATTGCAGAGCAGCAGACTGATAGCTGTTAACTTGCCCAGAACGTGATTGTCCTCCTTGTCCCTGAGGCTGCTGTTTTTCTTTTAAAAACATTTCCCATAACTTATTTTAAATTAAAAGAAAATAGAAAGTTATTCTAGGACCATTGCCTGGACTAGAGCAGGGAGCAGCCAATGGAGGAGATGCACTATTTTGCTTCCCAAACCCCTTCCTCGTTCATTTTATTTTTCTCTCCCTTCTATCTAAAATCTAACCAACCACTAAAAAACAAGTAGAATAAAAAAAAAGAACCTTTAGAAGTCTGTTCTTTTAAAAGCAATCATTACATACTAAAATCAGTGTTTGATGTAGCCAAGGACTGCAGGATCAGTCCCTAAATTAGAAGCCATGTCTACCAGCCACTGCAATTAAGGAATAGGCCTCCATTATGGGGAAAAGTGAAGTTCTAGGTAGTCTCTACTAATAAATCTACTGGGAATGAACTAAAACAAACTAAGAGACTCTCTCCAAGACTTTCCAATCTCACTTTCCAAAGGGCTCCACGTACCACCATCACTAGGGGTACGTCTATACTGCAATTAAAAACCCACAGCTGGCCCATGCCAGCTGACTCAAGCTCGCACTAAGGGGCTGTTTAATTGTGGTACAGACATTTTGGCTCAGGTTACAGCCCAGGCTCTAGAATCTTGTAAAGTGTGAGGGTCTGGCTGCAGGCCAAGCCAGAATGTCTACACTGCATTTAAACAGCCCCTTAGCCCAAGTCAGATGGCATGGGCCAGGCACGGGTTTTTAATTGCAGTGTATACACACCCTATAAGAGTGCTTTAAGCTCCCATAACTTCACACTTCCAGATAAAGACTGGATATAAGAGAAAATGGTTGGTACACACAAGAAGGAGGTCTTTCTAAAATTAATATATGCCCTTCTTTGAGCACACTCCTACGAGTGGTAGTATCTAAAATATTTCTGGGATGGAAAATGGAATCCTGTTGTCACATCAATAAAAACAAAATAAATTAAGAGTATTGAGTGACCTACCTGCAGACTGCTCCTCCCTGGCAATTATTATGGCAGTTCGGGCAGCTTCTCTGTATTGCTTTAGTGCCATGTACAAGCGGAACAGATACTTGGCGTCCTTAATCAGAACAATACAAAAGTAATTTTGCTAATGGAACATATACTGCTGTATCATCTTCTAGATCTTAACCTCTCTCCATCTCAAGCAAATGTCAAGAGGCAGTTCAGATTTGTTTGTGAACTCTGTGGCTTGGCCATACCCTGTCGGCCTGTGCATCGTGTTCTCTGCCTGTGGCAGTGCAAACAAAACTGTGATTCAGTACTCCCACTTCTTTCATTGCTAAACTAGCTTTTTAAATATTTTTTGGGGGAAGTAGTGAGCAGAAATCTCTCTTCCCTTCTCTCCATCAAGGAGAAATTTTTACTGGACCTCCACCCCTTGATTAGGATTGTTTCTAAACTTCTCCTCAATAAGTCCCAAACTGCTCTTGGATTGAGGAAGAGGTTAGTTTCAGGAAGGAAACAATCAGGGGAATTATTACATTCTTAACAAACAGTACATGAAAATACAGTTGAAAGATATCCCTCTTTCAGCTGGAATCTAACAGTCATGTAAATCTGCTGATATATGAGAACTTCTAAAATACATAATCTGCTTGAAAAAAGTTGAAGAGAAAGCACGCTGATCATGAGGTGACTAATACTGAAGAAATTGGACACTGATTCAGCTAGTCAATCAGAGAAGTTTTTGAAATATACCTATGGGGTTTGTTTCTGCTTTTTGGTATTCTACAGTAAATTTGTAGTGGAGGAACAATTATGTAAAAAAAAGTATACAACTTTTATCTTACAAGAACCTTTTAAATAATTATAATTGAGTTGTAATTAAAAAAACTATTACAGAAAAGTACTGATGCTAAAATATTGACCTTGAAATTCTGTTCTGTATGGCTCATTGCAATAGCCCCTGATTCAACAGAAGATAAAGAACAATGGATTAAAATTACTCCTTTTTTTAGCTGCACCTGCAAAAGAACAACAAGGAAGTCTAAGTGGATCAGAAGCAGGAAGTCTGCAGGAGAATGCGTGGGTCCACTGGATTTATCATGAAATAAAAGGAGCAATTTAAGGAGGTTAAAGGCTGTGCAGAGAAGCTTAGATGATGTTTTTAAATCAGTCTTCACCACAGAGGAAGTTGGAGAGACCTTCTCTTTTCAGGTAATAAAAATGACGTACTATCAGATACTGAGGTATCAAAAGAGGTTGGGCTGGAATAAGATGAGAATAAATTAAATGCCAGATTCTGCCACCTTTACACAAAAATACCACCGTACTCTGCCAGAAACCCCTTTGAAATCAGCAGTACTTCTCATGGACTAAGATACTATTTTGCTTGAGTAAGGGTGATAAAACCCAGCCATTAAAGAGTAGTAAGTCACCAGAACCAGATGGTATACAGCCAAGGGTATGTCTACATTACAATTAAACACCTGTGGCTGGCCCGTGTCAGCTGACATAGGCTTGCAGGGCTCAGACTATGGGGAGCCATGGGTGTTTAACTGCAGTGTAGATAGACCCCAAGAGATGAGAAGGAATTTAAGAATGAAGAGGCTGAGCTGCTATGAAAAATATGTAAGCTCTCATTAAAGTAAGATTCTATACCAGAGGACTAGAGGGTAGCAAAGGTATCCATCTAGCTTTAAAATAGGTGCTAAGGGGTAATCTTAGACATTACAGCCCAGCAAGTCTTACTTCAGTACCAGGAAAATTGGCTGAATAATTGAAGAAAAAAAAATTCTAGAACACTTAGATGAATGAGATATGATAGCAGCAAACTAGCACAGTTTCGGTAAAGACAAATCATGCTCTATTAAACTACTAGAATTCTCTGAGTAGCAGCAACAAATAATGGATAAGAGAGAACTAGCTGGCTATTCATATGGACTTTCAAAATGTCTTTGAAAAAGAGCCCTCACAAGAGTTTATTAAGGAAATTAATAGTCCTGGAATGAGAAGCTAAGTATTTTAGAAACGGTCTAAGGACATAAAACGAAGAGTGGAAGTAAATGATCAGTTTTTGTAATGGGAAAAGACTAATTGCAAAGTGTCACCACTGTTGTTGATTATTTTTTTTTTACTGTGCTGGAAAGGGTAGTGAGCAAATGGGTAGAATTTGCAGATGACGCAACAATATTTAGGTTAGTCAAGAAGGATGAAAACTGACAAGGGACCCTGACAAAACTAGACAAGTTGGCATAATGACAGCAGATGAAATCAATGCTGACATGCAAGGTAATGCAAATAGGAAAGAATAGTTTGAATTACTTATACACATTGCTGGGTTCTAAATTAACTACAATCCACTCATCTAAAAGACCTGGGTAGCATTATAGACAGTTCCAACAGAAACCTCTGCTCAATTTGTAGTAATCATAAAAACAAAAAGCATTAGGATATATATAGAATGGGACAGAAAATATGATGATGGAATTATGTAAATCAATGGTGTACCGTCCCCCAGAATACTGCATTCAGCATATCTCAAAAGATACACTGTGGAAACAGAGGGAGTTTAGAGAAAGGTGAGAAAATTGTTAAAGGCATGGAGAAACTTCCATATAAGGAAGAGATTGAAAAGATTATGACTCTTCAACTGAGGGAGGAGACAAATAAGAGGGACATGACAGAGGTTAACAAAATAGAGACTTGCATACCCGCCCTCACAACAACAAAAAACATTCAATGGAGATTGAAAAGAGACACTGAAAACTGATAATGGAAAATATAATTTTACATAACACATACTTAACCTGAGGAACTCACTGCCACAAAGGCTAATAACTTTTTAAGATTTTAAAAAATTAAATATTCCTATAGATAATGAAACTATCTATAGTTGCATTAGATAGGATAATATATTGTATTAGATGGGACAATGCAATAATTAATTGACTAGAGTTAGGAAGAAAACTCTCCTATCATCAAGTTATTACATAATTGTCCACCACACGGTTTTTTGTTCCTTCCTCCAAAACATCATCTGACCACTGTCAGAAGATGGACCACTAGCCTGACCTGGTATAGTGTTTCCTATATCCCTCGTTGTGGATGCAATTAAGGTAACATATCTAAATGACTCAAATTGTGTCTACAAATAATTTATTTTTACATCTTCAGTTGAGTCCAGTTTATTTTAAATATGGCCCTAAATGTTTTAATTTGATATTGTATGCTTTTAAATTTGGCTTACTTTTTAAAAATTAGAGAAAACAATTTTAAATAGAAAATATCCTTCTTAGAACTTTTGGAAAACATATTAATATTCAATAGACCATTACTTCTTTTTTATTGGAATTTGGCAACTTTATAGAATTTTGTTTCCAGGGTTGCTGTTTTCAATTTTTAAAACATTTGTGTATTTAAAAAATAAACACAGAACAGGAGAATCTTGTTAATTAACACTCTAGGAGATATGCATTATAGTAAGCAAACAAACAGGATATAAATCAAGGATATTGGATCAGAATCCTTTTGTCTTAATTCTGACAAGTGTAGTTTAGTATTATATGTAATACATTTATTATTATATTAGAATACAAAGGGTATAAAAACATTTTGATAAATAGTAGTAAAGGCTTAGTAATAGATCACCTCACTATTAACTCTTTATTGAGAAGTGGAGTGAAACAACCAGCCTATTTTGAGAATTAGTTTGGGAATAAGTGAAGAGAGGAGTAACACATTTCTGCTGTATGGCTACTTCAATTTAGATTTTATCTTCAGTGAAATAAAAATTCTACCATCTAAAAGATATTATTCTATAAAAATGTGATTCAGATTGCCTGAGAATTTCGGTCAGGCATTTGCCTCTACACCATAATGAAGTTAAAAATTATTTTTTTTTTAACAAGTTACAGTACTATGATTTGATAAAGTAAAATGATGTTACTCACTGAGAGAGACTATGGCAGATGGGGTAAAGCATTCAGAAGAACAAGAGAGAGCTTTTAAATGAGAAAAAGAATGCCCTTCATACAAGTTGCAAAACAATGTTAAACATTACAATGAGTGTATTCCCACAATGCTATGATGTTTTATAAAAAAATTAAGCTGTTAGAACTGGTTCTCAAACTTTTTCATATTGTGGGTTACTTCCAATTCCCCATCCCACACATTCCCCGAGGCAACCACGGTGCTTGGTTGTGGTTTACAGAAAAAATAATGTAAGGACAGGATGTGACAGTCAGTCCATGTCCCACCCACAGTTTATAGCTGTGTGCAGCAATATTTGTTAGTACCAGATGTCCCATCACAGCCCTTTCAGTTCTAATCTCTCCAGGTCACTTTGCAATTGAATTCTGTCCTCTTGAGTGTATGTTCCCTCTACAATTTTAGTGTCATCCAAATGTCTGATGAAAGGTAACATTACATCAAAACAGCACCCAACAAAGACAGATAAAGCAGCTGCTCAAAGTGCAGAGATTTTTTTTTTATTAAAAAAAAGACAGAAATGTCACTAAATGCCCAAAGGACCAAATCCTGGCCCTATAATACAGCACAGCAAGGTTGAGGCTGGAGCTCTGCAACCTCACTACAGAGTTGGAAACCGCAACTAGAATTCTGAGGGCTTGTAGCCCTTCAGCGGCAACTACGTGTCATCTCTACAGCTGTCAAACCCAGCTCCATGCCTACAGAGCATAAATTTGTGATTCTGAATTTACAGGACTGTGGAGATTACACTGTGGAAGCCCTGCAGAGTCTTTCTGATGCAGTGTATGTATGGGAGCAAGTGCCTTCTGTAGCTCAGCCACTGAGGATCTTAGAGAACCTGAATTACCTGAAGATTACCACCATCTGACGGCTGTTAGCAATGCTAGTTTATTTTAAAACCTACATGAAAAATAATCATGCAAAGATAATATGGGCAAAATTATTTTCTCAGATCCACACTCCTATATTTTGCTCACCTAGTTGGTGATTTGCACATATATGGAAATCAAGATACTGAAGTAGAGATTGGTTGTGTGGATATGAGAGGAGAATTTCACCTCTGAAGACGTAATTTCTCTTCTCTGAGCCCTTTACCCTGAAATATATTTGGTATTCTCAGTCTTCCTTTTAACATCAGACCTATGGCATTAACAAGCAGGATTAACACTATTGGTTAACATTACTAACCAAGCACACAAACGTGACAACTGATACAAAAAATATTGCACGTAAAAGGGGAAAATGGACTAGTACAGCCTATTGGTGGTAGTCTACCAGTTCCCCGTGCCTGCATCACTACCTATTGGTGGGAGAAGTGACCTATGGACTCCAAAAGAAGTTCTATTTAGTCCTCTTTGTATAAAGGATGCTGGGTATGAAATGGGGGCTCCCAGAAGGGAGATAAAAGCAAAAATCTGTAAAGCTCCTGCAGGAATGTAATGGTGGTGTTGGTGGCCTGTGAGATACAAGAGGTCAGACCAGATGGTCTGGTGATCCCTACTGACCTTAAACTCTGTGACCTCAAAAAGACTTCCCATAAGTCACAATAAAAAATAAATACCTACAATATTTTATATTCTTAGTGTTAAATAACTGATCATTCTATATATAAAGTATGCCATTAGAAACTCAAGATATGGATTTGCTAATCTTTAGTTTTCTTTTTACTATAAACGCTTTATGTAGTCGTGTACAGATCATATATGGAATTGTATATCCCAGCACAGTGTACTTAATTTTTATCTAAGATAAGTATAGTTAGGGAAACCATACCCTATATTTGCAGTTGGAATTGACTGTAATAAATCATTTTCAACTTTGAAAATTGTATGATATTAGATAATGAAGTACAAAAATAAAGGGACAGATTTTCAAAAAAGCTCAGCATCCATTTAGGTATCTAAATGAGTAGCTAGATTTCCAAATAACTGCAGAACCCATTGTCCACATATCAATGGGAGATGCTTCGCAGTGAGCCCTTTTGAAAATCTGATCATTTAATTTAGGAACTTAAATGGAAGCTGAGCACTTTGCTTTTTTTGGATATATAAAAATAGTTCTGGACAATCTACATCTACTAGGTGTCTGAAGGGCAAAAAAATAAAAGAAATCATCCTGTAGAACAGAAACTGGAGAAAAAAGAGTGATAAGAATATAGTACCTTGGGCATGCCATCACTCTCCCCCATAAGGTAGTCTATCAGCTGATTGGTTAGTGCTTCATCTTTTGCCTGTCCCACCTATTAAAGACAGATGAAAAATGTCAACATGTGCCTGAAATATGGGGAAAAAGAATTAGATTTCTCCATAGAAAACCTTTGAACTTAGATATATTTAAAACATGTTTTTACCGGTGTTACGTACTCAAAATGCAGTAAAGCAGGTATCTATTTGGTTGATCAGCTTCTCTTTGACATGCTGAAGTCCATGTTGAAAAATCTAACACACTATGGCAAGGATTTCATAAACTACTACCTATTTAACAGGTTTTTAAATGGCATCCATTAAATATTAACAAGATCTAGATTTGGAATTGACAGATATGTTATTTACATTCCCTTTTTTCAGCATCAGTGCTAAGAAAATTACTTGGGATGGCATCAGGAACTTTTTACCTTAGCCCTTGCTTTTACTCTTGCAGCTTCCTTCTTACATCTATAAGCTATTCAAAATCTGCTAAACACTAGGACGAAATCATTACAGTAGAGACACAGATTACTTGAAAAGCAGGCTGAATATTCAATTTCTTAGGTTTATCAATGTTTCTTACTGTTTCAATAGCCATTTCTATAGCCATGTTATCTTCTGTGGTTGGACTTTTCAGAAAGTGTTTTAGTGCCTGAAACAAAAATAGAAATACAGGGATATAACAGATAAATGACATGGTATTTTCTTTATAAAAATCTTTTTCCCTATTTTTAATTCATCTAGTTCTGCAGCATCTGGGAAAGAAGGAGAAACATCCTTTGATTACATTAAAATTATGTGATCCCTGTGATCCATTGAGAGCATTTGTGTTGTTTCATATGAATCTGAAGTCAATTGAGTCACAAAGTAGTGAAAATGATCAATAAGGATGACCCCACCACGACCATGGCGGTACACAAGCATCAGCTGCTGTCCCAAAAACGGCGGTAGGAAAAAATATACTTATGAAGTCTTTCTGAAGGGTCTGCTGGACAATTACAATCCAGCACATCACCCATACCCATCCTGGTTCCTCCTCACTCCTATGGCCCCATCAGAACAGCAGGAGCATTCACAGCCTAGTCCTGGCACATTTCTTCTCAGCACTGACAGCCAGCAATGAGAGGAGATCTGCTCAATTGGGGCATTACACAGTGCTGCAACCAAGGGTTAATGGGGCACTGACTCACTGGGAGGAGCAGGTCACCTACAATGGTCCCATCCCCAGCAGCTGATAATTTTCAAAAATTCATAACCTTGCTTTTTTGCTCTCAGGACATAAACATTCTGCTTAATATGCAGCAGCTGACACACGCAACTTGTAACCAGTCTATACAAAATATGATAATTTGCATACTCTTTCCTTTAAAAACTGTGTTTCAATAAGCTACAGTATTTAATCAAGTAATGAGTTTTTTCTACAACTGAACATTCAGACAAGTAAGTAAACAGTAACTAAACTAACTCGTTCATAAGTAATAGTAAAAAAGGGAAGCACCAGAAAAGGGGTCGGCTTATTGAACGTGTATAGAGAGGGATAGGTGGGACACAGCCCCTCCCTCCCAACTGAGGGAGCAAGAAGACGCAGCACAGACAGCAGAGCCAGAAGGGAAGAGACGGGGCCAGAGTATCTCCACTTCTGGCCACGCTGTTCCCCCCAGCCTCTGAAGCAGCTGCAGCTCCAGGGTTGGCAGGCTGCAGCTATGCCGCTTGGCCCCGCCCCCCAGAGCAGGCTGAGGCCGCGCCGCCCGGCCCAGCCCGCTGGAACATGCTGCAGCTGCGCTGCCTGGTCTGGCCCGCCGGAGCAGGCTGCAGCTGTGCTGCCCAGCCTGCCGGAGCAGCTCCAGCCAGGCCAGAGACATCCTCCCCTGGCCCTCCCCAGCTAAGGTGGGAAGGGATGGGATGGGGAGAGTGTGGGGGTCCCAGGATAGGGGTGGGGTCACACGGGGGGTGGTCGCGGGGGTTACTCCCCTGACTCCCAGCTTCTCCCCCCCAAAAAACATTTCCCCACCAGTTGCTGTCCTGGCCCATCAGGGTAAGCAGCTGGTGCGCTGGGACACTTTGTTTACTTAGGTTTACCTCAGTGCCTGCGGACGCTCGAGGTAAACAAACCATCTCGGCCCACCAGCGGCTTATCTTGATGGCCTGGGAGCCAAAGTTTGCTGACCCCTGAATTATAGCGTCGGCTTATGAATGCGTCATAAAAATTTTCCATTTTTACTTATCCATCTTGGGGGGGGGGCAGCTTATAAACGAACCAGCTTATGATCAAGTATATACGGTATGTTCATGTATCACTTAAGAGATATATTATGTCTACGATCCATATGAAGCTTCTACTGCTGTCAATAAGAATTATGTGCATGGCTGAATAACGTAGTATATAGCACTCACCCTTTATTCATTTTCTATTTAATGGAAGAAATAATTTCCTCTAAGTTTTGTTGTAGGTAGGACAGTAATATTTTTTCTTCTGATTGCATTAATGTGAAATACGAGGAAGCAGATAAAAAGCCTATTTTTTTCTGCTCTGTAGGAAGTGTAATAATCTTGGAATCCAGTGTTTTGCACAACCATTGCTATGCGCATTTAAATACTGTTGCTGTTTTACTCTCTGAATACTAACCCGGGCATACTGACCGCACAGCAAAAAGAACTTGCCCGCCTGAAAATGTTTTTTTTCTCCTTCAAAGTATAGTGCAATACTCTGATAATCTTCATTGGTAGTATTCTCAGAACCTGCAACACAGACACTAATGTGAGCAAAATTCTTCTCATGAAACAAAGGTTTATAGATCCCGTCAAAGAGGCAAACCATATATTTCACATTTTTGGCTTTTGGTTTTCAACCAAAATAGGAGCCAGCTGGATTTATAACTTCTGTTTTGCACAGTTTATACCTACTTAATGTGCCACATTTGATCTTTGATAAAGGACTAATGGCTAAGGGTACCTTTTAGTCATGGGTATTTTTAGTAAAAGTCACGGACAAGTCAATTCACGGCCTGTGACCTGTCCATGACTTTTACTAAAAATACCCGTGACTAAAACTTGCGTGGGTGGGGGGCTTCCCGGGGGCACCGCGGGTACAGGGGGAGGGCGGCCTGGGTGCTGGGGGTGGGGGGGTGTGACGGCACGTGGCCCAGGACCCCCGCTGATGCTGGGCGTGTGGGCAGCGGCGCATGACCCAGGACCCCTGCTGGTGCTGGGGGGATGGAGGGGGGCATGATGGCGGGACTGGCAGGCTCCTGACCTGGCGCCGTCCTCCCCCCCCAACAGCAGTAGAATTTGGGTGTAGGAGGGGGCAGGGGCACGGGATGGGGTGAGGCAGGATCTGGGCAGCCATTACCTGGGGGGCTCCCTGGAAGCGGTGACATCCCCTCGGCTCAGCTGCTAAGCGGAGGCATGACCAGGTAGCTCTGCGTGCTGCCTCCGCCCAGAGTGTTGGCCTCACAGCTCCCACTGGCTGGGAACTGTGGCCAATGGGAACTGCGGGGGCGGTGCCTGCAGGCGGAGGCAGGATGCAGAGCTGCCTGGCCACACCTCCGCCTAGCAGCTGAGGGAGGGGGATATCGCTGCTTCTGGGGAGCCCCAGGTAAGTGCCGCCCAGAGCCCACCTCACCCCCATCCCCGTGCCCCAACCCCATGCCCCCTCCCACACCCAAACTCTGCTGCTCGGGGAGAAGACAGTGGCCCGAGACTGCTCCAGCAGTGGCTGGTGCGCCTGGTGCAGGGGTTGCCTGAGCTGCCCCTGAGCCAGGTGCACCAGCTGCTGCAGAAGTCACAGAATCCATGACAAACTCGCAGCCTTACTAATGACTTACTGGAGCAGTTCTTTAATTTAGGTTTTACACACCATAATGTAAGTACCCTGGTTGTTTATTAGGCATGGTCAAATGGCATCACTGTGAACTGGTTCAGTGAGTTTTCCATTGCCTCTTAGTATTAATAAGGCAGAAAACTGAATTCTGTAGGTGACCATGGATCAAAGAGATGTGAAATTTCACACAGCTGCACATTATCATTACAGACTTCTCTATGCCTTTCTTCACAAATAGGCCATAAATTGCTAAAGAATTCCAAATAAAATTATTAAAATAGAATTCTCACCAATGATGTCCGCATAAATCTCCATCTTATTGTGCTGCTGGGCCAGTGTGAAAGCTTCATTATTACACTTAGACATGACCAAAAACTGGATGGCAGAACCATAGTCACCCAACTGCAGAAAGAATCTGATCAGAATAAACACATTAATACTTTTGTTAAATAACATAATAAACACACTCCAAATGTTTTCCAAAGAAAATCTCTCTTGTGCAATGAGTGTGGCAATGGAGGGACCATTAAATCATTCTTCTAGCATGCTGCTATTAGCATATGCTTGTACCTGATGATAAACTAATTTCTAGTAAGAATTATGGATGAGAAGGCTTTTCTATTTGAAGCTTGCTTGTTTATAGTTTATCTAAAAGATTCTATCACTTGGGATCAAATTTTGTATGTTTATTGACAGGCCAAAAGTGAACTTTTTTGGTGAAACTGATAAATTTCTATTTGGCCAATTTTGAGACATTCAAATGCAAAAAGTGTTCTTCAGAAGCCTTTTTCTAATGATATTTTCATATACCGTACTCTTTTTTCCATTTAAAATTTGACAATGGTTCTCAGTGAGGACTACTGCCTTTGAAATATGCTTTAAAAATAATAAAGCTGAAGTTCTGATTGTTCCACATCATCTGTCCAATTATGTTCATTACGCATTCTTAATAGAGTGTGATGTTCTTGATATGCACCCAGGCAACCATACATGGCACTTTGAACTGAATGGCTATTTACTGCTTTTGTCTGTTTGTGTTATTGTATGTAAGAGTGAGAACATTCAAAATTATGCACTCAGAGTGAAATTCACTCCCCTTGTGTAGAAACCTGAGAATGCAGGGAGGATGTAGTGATGAAATACACTCACATACTCTCCCCCTGCTCCCCTCCCCCTCCCCCCCCATGGTTAGTATGCAGGGTTCCAGTAGCAGCCACAACCCCAATGCAATGGTTCTACAGGATGCTGGGATCACTGGATCTGCATAAACACAAACTGGAAGTGGTCCCCATGGACTTCCTTTGTCCCTGCACTTTCCACAAGTCCTGCAATGACTAGTCCAGTGACTAGCTCCATGGCATGCAATAGGCAGCTTGTCTGGCTACCCAGCTGACTAACCTTGTACAGCCCCCTGGAGCTTACATGGTGCACAGAGATTTGCACTGGTCCTCAACACCATGAGTGAATATCACCCTCCGTTTCCAAATTTAAAAATTTAACTGTCTAGCACCAGCTTTGGCCCTACATAAAGCTACAGATGTGCTAACATGAGCATTCTAGAGGCTTAAAAAAAAAAGAAGCCTCCAGCATGTGATTAATCCTTTCAGTGCTCAACTCAGGGATTATGAAGTGTTGCACCATTCAAAAAACCACAGATTCAGATTTATGAAAATAACCTAGAGGTGCCCCTTCTATGCTCTAGTTGCCCACCCCATAAATTCAAATACACGATAAAAAATAAAATAAAATAAAATAAAATAAGAATATCCCTCCCAGATACCAGGTAATGAGGAAAACAGAATATAATATAAATAAAATAACTAAAGGGACTATGCTTTAAGTGGTTACAAGCTAGAAGACATGAATCAAGCAAAAGAATCTGTTGATAAGAATGGACAAAAACTTAACACTTCTACAGTAAGAAAAGCAAACAGAAGACTGGAATGTATCAACAAATTAATAGAGAAGATATCCAAAAAACTAAACAGCCCTTTGTAAAAGTGAAACCTCTCTGTGGATGGACTCGAGGGCTTACTACAGGGGTGGGGAAACTACGGCCCACGGGCTGGATCCAGCCCATCGGGGCTTTGGACCTGGCCCGCAGGATTGCCATCCTGTGGCGCTCCGGGAAGCGGCCAGCACCATGTCCCTTCGGCCCCTGGGGAAGGTGGGGGGCCGGGAATGGGGAACCATGGCCAATGGGAGCTTCAGGAGAGGTACCTGCAGGTGAGGGCAGCACGTGGAGCCCTCTGCCACCCCCCCACCTCCACTCCCAGGGGCCACAGGGACGTGGTGCCGGCCGCTTCCGGGAGCAGCATGGCGTGGTGTGGCGGAGCCTGTCTTAGCCCTGCTGCCACTCCGGAGCCACTCCAGGTAAGCAGCGCCGGGCCGGAGCCTGCATCCTGAACCCCTCCTGCACCCCGCACCCCAACCCCCTGCCCTGAGCCCCCTGCCGCACCTCACACCTCTCCTGCACCCCAGCCCCCTGCTGCACCCCCTCCCACACACCCCAACCCCCTGCCCCAGCCCTACATTCATGGCCCTGCATGCAATTTCCCCACCCAGATGTGGTCCTTAGGCCAAAAAGTTTACCCACCCCGGCTTACTATTTACATCTCATTTTTGAATCACTTCTAGTGTACTGATCATAATTCTAGAACTTGGCAAAAAATATAGAAGAGAGCAACAAGGACGATAACATGAGAGGTTATAAAGAAATAAGGTTAGGAAAGTTAGGTTTGTAAATCTATCTAATGTAACTACAGTACTGCATTACCTGGCTACCATCTTGGCTCCATCGAGAGACTGTGTTTCCCTGACAATACTAACAGCTTTTTCAGGATTGTTAAGATGATCCAAATATAGCCGGATTACATTGTCCCATTGTTTGGCATTCTCATAAGCCACAACCGCTTCCTTATATCTGAAAAATAATGATGCCCACATTTTACATTCAAGCTTTCTTGGCTTTGTTAAGAATTCTTCACAATATTCTATGCAAGGGACTCATGACATTTTACACCTGAGAAGTTATGCTGTGAAACCAAGTTCTTGTTTGTTTAGCCAATTTGTTTAGTAGATGTACACTCCTTTGGAACTCTTCTTCTATTGGGATGGATAATGGCAGTAGGAAGACAGACAACACTTCATACAATATCATCTTTTGACTCGCCTTAGAAGACAAGCAGCATTAACACTCTACATACTTTATGAGAGTATCTCCACAGTCATCTAAACTGGCATGTTAGGTGTGTGTGCTCGACACATGCACCAGTGCCAGAAGTTTTTCCCTCAGTTGTATTCGTAGGGGAGCAGCTCTGGAGCCCGCTGGAGTGGCGCACATGTGCCCTGGTGTAAGGGGCACTGCCAGCCCCCTCCCTCCCTCAGTTCCTTCTTGCCGGAACTCTGATAGTGGGGAAGGAGGGCAGGTCATGGAATGGGCATGAGCAACACATCTCGAAAAACAACAGTTACGAAAGGTTAGTAACTGTTTTTTCCTCTTCGCGTGATTGCTCATGTCCATTCCATGTTAGGTGACTCCCAAGCAGTATCCCCGGAGGTGGGTAGGAGTTCATGGCAGTGTCAATTGCAACACAGCTCTGTCAAAGCCAGCCTCATCTCTAGCCTGCTGGGTGATGGCTTAGTGGGTCGTGAAGGTATGCACCAACAACGACGTTGTGGCCCTGCAGATATCCTGGATAGGGACTTGCGCTAGAAAGGCTGCCAATGACACCTGAGCTCTGGTCGAATGAGTCATCACTATCTGCGGAGATACAACTTGTGCCAGCTCATAACAAGTGCAAATGCAGGTGGCAATCCAAGACAAAAGCCTTTGAGAAGATACCGGGAGGCCTTTCATTCTGTCGGCCACTGTGATGAAGGACTTAGTACGCTCTAAGGAAAAGGCCAGAACCCACCTGATGAATGAGGAGAGGGATATGCACACCCCTGACAACACGCCAGGCTTCAGGCAAAAAACGGGGAGAAATATGTCCTGGTTAATATGGAAAATCGACACCACCTTTGGCAGGAAAGCCGGGTGGGCATACAACTGAACCTTGTCCTTGTAGTACACCAATGTAAGGGCTTTAACCTTGGAGACCCTCCTCGCTGAAGTGATAGTCACACAGAAGGTAACTTTCCACGATAGTGTGAAAGAGAGTAGGAGGCTAACAGCTCGAAGGGAGGGCCAGTGAGCCTACAAAAGACTAGATTGAGGTCCCACTGGGGTACCCGGTTCCAGATTGGCGGAAAGAGCCTTTCCAGGCCCTTACGGAACCTGATCATCATCTCATGTGAGAACACCGATATGCCCTGGAAGGCTGAAATGGCTGCCAGGTGCACCTTGATCAAGAAGAAGGCTAGGCCCTGTACCAGGCAGTGGCCCTGGGGAGCCCCCCCAATTTGGCTGGATGTGCCTGGCCCAAGACACCAGCTACCTCCTCCTCCTCTGAGCTCGAAGGGGAAAGGTCTTGCCTTGGAGACCACTGCGGTGCTGATGCGGTCTCGAAGTCCTCTCCCTGCCTGCTATCCTGATGTCTGCGGCAGGGGGACCAGTACCAGAGAGCCGAGCCCTGAAGCCGTCTGCCAGGGATCGGTGATGGAGCTCGGGGGATCAGCGACAGTGACCCGGTAGTTGATGCCTAGTGCTCTGAGATCAGTGCTGTGAGTCTGGTGACTGGGAATGGGATGGAGGGGAGCGCTGCCTCGACCTGGATGATCGGTGCCGTGAGTCCAGCGATCTGCACCTCGGTACCATCCGGGATTGACTTCATCGGGGCCCCGATGGAGTCCCTCATCCCAGGGAGTGACATCTCCTGTCCAAAGACTGGAGCCATTCTGGGGACCGTTGGCGCGCTGAGGCCGTGTTGGCCATCAGGTGAGCGGTGCCATCCCACAGGGAACAGGTGCTGAGAGTCCCGTGACTGGTGCTAGGAACATTGGTCAGTCTGGGCAGGTCAGAAGCGCATCCCCGGGGATTGTCACTTTGATGTCAACTGCCGCGGTGCCAGGTAGCGATGCCGCACAGACGGAGATCATGGCATGGATTCCAGTGCTGGCTTCCCCCTGGAGACTTCCAGGTGCTGGGGCCTCTGCCACTACCTGGGGTGGCCAGTGCATTCCTTGGAGGGCTGGCTGGCCTAGCTGGCGATACAGGTGCCTGGCTGGGCTCCGGAGACTTTCTGCCCCATGAGGGTCTATGCTCCTCCCCAGACTTTCCCTTTCCCACACGGGATGTCAGGGAATGTCCTCTCCCCGGGTGCTTCCTCTGCTTCTTAGCCAGTACCGGGACTGTGACCGGCACTGGAAGGCCAGTGCCAGAGATGCACTTTGCACTGATGCTGCTGTACTTGGTGCCAAGTCCAATTTTGGCGGCTTGGAGACCGTCGCGAGGGCTGAAACACTTATCGCTAATGTGGGCTTCTCCCAAACACTTCAAGCAACTTTGGTGAGGGTCGCCTATTGGCATAGGCTTTCTACAGAGATCAAAAGGCTTGAAACTGGGGACCGGGGCATGCCCCATCCCTGAGCTAAGTCCCATAGGGGACTATCTAACCTATCTACAACACTAACACGCTAGTCGTTAAAGAACAAAAGAACTACTTATCTAACTATTTACAACACTAAGAGAAAAAAAAAACACTGGTTAAGTAAGTGCTTGCCAAAGCAAGCAGGGTTTGCCACAAGGCATTTGAAATTTTTGCCACCCCTTCGTGGAGTGGAAGGGCCACCCTACCTGGTACCGAGGCCAACAGGACATTGAAGAGTGAGTCCGAGGGTTCCTCCACCCCCTCGGCCTAAAGGTTGAGGTTTGATGCCAGCCTTTTCAATGGTTCCTGGTGGGCCTTAGAATCCTCTTGCGGAACAGAGGGAGGAGGGGGCGTAATCGCCTCAACAGGGGAGGGTGAGGATGCAGGCGCAGTACTCTGCGTACCCACCGGTACTGGAGGTCCCACCACTTGGTTGCCCACCGGGCCCGGAACTGAACATGCACGTCCCACTGACTCCTTTCTGGGAGGCTGGGAAAGGGAGGCCGACGGTCGTTCTGAGGCTCTGGCCACCGAGCGCACCATCACTGGTGCTGGCCAAGGAGCAGGTTGTTCAGCCTGACTAGCCTGTCCCATCGACTGACGACTACGAAGGGAGGCTGGGCTCGCGTATGATCTACCGGTGTCTCTGGACTGGGAGGAGCGGTGGCGTCGGGAATGGTGCTGACCACGAGACCATGATCCCGACGTGGAGGAATGGTACTGCTGGTAGCAGCTGCTCTGCGATTGGCTCCGGTGGGTGCATCTGTGACAGCGCCTGGAGCGAGACGAAGAATGGGAACGGCGTCGATACCAGTATTGCAACGGGCTATGGTAGCCTCTCAGAGACGAGGACCTCCAGTGCCGTCTGTCTCGGTCTTGACAAGGCCTGCTCCCTTCGCGAGGTCTACGGTCCCTTGAGGCGGAACAGTGCCTGGAACCCCTGTCAGTTAGAACCCAGCCAACCTGGTGGGGGTCGATGGCGATCGGAGTGGATTATGCACGGGGCGGTCGCTGAGCAGCGAACAGCGTCAGGAACATTCCCTCGACCGCGAATGGTACCAACCAGGAGGTGACTGCGGCGATCCAAGCAGTGGCTTGCCTCTGGACTGGGGAGCCAATGGTGGCGGTGCCCCTAATACCGGCAGGGACATAACGTCCTAGGCCTGGTCTACACTAAGAGGTTATGTCGAATTTAGCAGCGTTAACTCGAATTAACCCTGCACCCGCCCACACAACGAAGCTACTTATTTCGACACAGAGGTCTCTTTAAATTGATTTCTGTACTCCTCCCCGACGAGGGGAGTAGCACTAAATTCGACATGGCCATGTCGAATTAGGGTAGGTGTGGATGGAATTCGACACTAATAGCTCCGGGAGCTATCCCACAGTGCACCACTCTGATGACGCTCTGGACAGCAGTCCGAGCTCGGATGCTCTGACGAGCCCCCAGCCACACAGGAAAAGCACCGGGAAAATTTGAATTCCATTTCCTGTCTGGCCAGTTTGAATCTCATTTCCTGTTTGGACATCGTGGCGAGCTCAGCAGCACTGGCAACGATGCAGAGCTCTCCAGCAGAGGTGACCATGCAATCGCAGAATAGAAAGAGGGCCCCAGCATGGACTGATCGGGAAGTCTTGGATCTGATCGCTGTGCAGGGCGATGAGTCCGTGCTTTCGGAGCTGCGATCGAAAAAACGGAATGCGAAGATCTACGAGAAGATCTCAAAAGCCATGACGGAGAGAGAGGATATAGCCGGGATGCAATGCAGTGCCGCGTGAAAATCAAGGAGCTGAGACAAGGGTACCAGAAGACCAAAGAGTCAAACGGACGCTCTGGATCCCAGCCCCAGACATGCTGTTTCTACGAGGCACTGCATTCCATTCTAGGTGTGGCCGCCAACGCTACCCCACCACTGTCCGTGGACTCTGACGATGGGGTATTGTCGACGGCCGCTTCTCGGAGATGTTCACGGACGGGGAAGATGAGGAAGGAGATGAGGCGGACAAGGCAGTCGACAGCGCTTTCAACGCTGATTTCCATGACAGCCAGGATCTCTTCATCACCCTCACGGAGATCCCCTACCAACCCTCCCAAGGCGGTAACCCGGACCGTGAATCAGGGGAAGGATCAGTAGGTAAGTGTTTTAAACATTTATTTTGAACAGAATAGGAATGGTATCTTAACAATGGGTTTTTCATGATTAGTTTGCCCTAGGCGCTTTAGTTTTTAGTCCTTGCCAGTGCAGCTACTGGAAAATTCTGTCAATATGTCCGGGGATAGAGCAGAAATCCTCCTGGGACATCTCCACGAAGCTCTCCTGGAGGTATTGTGAAAGCCTTTGCATCAGGTTCCTGGGGAGAGCAGCCTTATTGCGTCCTCCATGGTAGGAAA